AGCATCTGAGACAAAAGTGGATTAGAGAGATCAAAGTCCATATATGAACAATCAAGTGCTTTTCACAATACATATGATTTCAAAGAAGCTTTACAGAAAGTCATACTGTCATGTTTATAGCGCCTATAGCACTTCGGTGAATTATAATTATCTGGCATCTGATGGGTTTATAATAAAGGAAATATAATTTTCATTCACCAGTTCAGGGTCACACAGACCATCTCCAATGGCCACTCCTTTGAAGTTGATCTTCACTTTGGCAGAGGGATTGTTCTTGTGGATGTAGTAGCCAATTGCTGGAACATACTTTCCTGCATATGACTATGAATTTTAAATGTTAAATATAGTTAACAGCACAGTATTTTGACTGTACAAGAGAGTAGGATTCTGATTGTATCAATCCAAAATGAGGTCCACTTCCTCACCTCGCCTGTAGCGTAGAACGGATTAGACTGGAACTCACTGAATATCTGGAAGAACTGAATCAGGGCACTGCGGAGGGGACAAAAAACCCCTAATATTTATCACATACATCTCTCGTTGTCTTAGATATACAGTAAACGTTTGCCACTGTACCTGTACAAGTCTCTGCCCACATCATCCTGGTTTTGGGCGAACCCTCGGTCATCTTCAGTGAAACTCCATCCTGTCCCAACCTTAAAAATAAACGACAAATATCCATCTAGTATGTATAATTAAATTAAAACCTGTCATAGAAACACCAGATTCACATACTGTATTAGCATATTTTCAGTAAGGCTGTCAAGTGATAAAATACATGTGACTTATTTAATTTACTCAGTTCCTTCTTAAAGAAAGAAATAATGTGTGTAATAATTGTATTCTTATATTCTGTGTGGATGACACACAAGACAGAAAATATCCATATAAAGACACTCAGATGTATGCAGCAAAGCTCTTTACCTCATTTTATCTAATTTCAGAAAATAAATAAATACATAAAATATTGTCAAATTGCATGAAAAGCAGGGAAAACAATATAACAAATTTTCCTAAATATGTTTTTAGGAATTAAGTGAAAATGACTTGAGCAAATTACTTTTATACAAATTATTTCCAGAAAATCACAGAATAAAAAAAAATATATATATCGTGCATGTTCATTATCATGATATATTGTATTACCCAATACCGGAACATGTCTACTCACCGGGTTGTCGATGTAAAGAACAGAGTATCGTGATGTCCAGGGGAAATCCCTATAGCCCACTGCAGAACGACATTAAAGGGTTAAATTCTAACGTTTTAATGTAATTTCATAAATTGATATCTGAAGTGTAGGGTTTCATTAAGCAAATAAAAATTCCTTTCTGGCCCAAAAAACATCTATAATACAATGTTTATAAGACACAAAAACAACATGCTAATCTTCATCAACATAGTGTAACTCAGCATACAAGCATTTGTACTCACACGTGAGGTTCTTATGTACAAAATATGGGCCGTGCTCCACAAACAAGCCAAACATGGAAGTGCCTCCAGGTCCTCCCTGCAGCCACAGCAGCACCGGAGCCGTCTCTGGTCTCTCCTAAACAAAGAAAAACATGCTACAATAAATAAGTGTGCAGTAATAACATCACTGAATCGAAATCTGTTGACTATATATAATTTGTTGTGAACGACTTCTGAAAACACTTGACTCAAGTATTGCCAACTGACGCAGAAGCTACAGTCAGCAGATCAGTCTTATCTTTGCTGTTCATGTACAGTGTTAAAAAAATAAAAGTGCATAACATATTACCTGGGCAGGGAAGAACCAGAAGAAAAGGTTACTGTTGTAAGTCTTGTTCACAGTGAGATATCCTGAGTAACTCTTGACATTGGCACCAGGAAGGGGTCCCACCAAACTCAGTTTTTTGGCTGCATACCCACAATACAAAAAAGAAAGTGTATTAGCATACAGGTGAGAAACATCAGTGAATTATGATAGCAGTTATAATTTGTGGACAACCAAAGTAAATTCCACTGATCTATCAGTCGCACAAACTTCTCCATAATAGGGAAAATACCTTATAGCCTATTTAGCGAATTAAAGTAAAAGAAGAACGAAAGAAGAGGAACTGAAATTATTCTATGCAAACAGCAAGCATACCTTCTTCTATCTTGCCTTCCTCCAGATAGGGGGTGAGCATCAGAGGTTTGCCCGGGTCAACTCCAAAACGTGACCCGCTCACACGGTGTGATTTCCGGCAGAAGAACGAGGAACAGCCCCGGGGACTGACAGACTCCAGAAGAGCCCCGAGGAACAGCAGCCTCAGCGTTTCCTTCAGCATTATAGAGTTTAACTGCAGACAGCAAAGAAATATAACACGGGGATCAATGATCCAGCTTGATATTAAAAGGCTCGCATTACCTGCTACCTGTTATTACAAGCCTAAACATATCAGATGAGAGAAAGACAACTCTTGTCAGTCTGTGAATTATCGAAAATAAGCAACATGCGTACATAATGCGCGGCACATTATGTTATGAATATGTAAACAGGAAAGATAATGTGCAGGAATGGCAGGTGTGATAATTATCAAATCAAATAATTGATCATTTATATACATCTTGTTTTCCTGATCAGTAATAATAATAGCGTTACCTTAAAGCCAGATGCCAATCAGAAATCCAGAAGCCGTTTGCATCGGCATATGAAACTACAAGTAAATGCAGATCAGCTTGTTGTCACGCTTTGAATGTGTTGCAGTCACATGACTATATGGCCTCGAAGTCATGTGATCGCAGTGAATCCAAGGAACTTCAGTTGAAAACACTGACCCCTACAGGCCCATTTGAGAGAAGCAGTGCTCAACCCACAAAGCAACTTTTCCAATATACAATATTATGCAATATGCATTTGCTATGTAATAGAGAAGGCTCAAGTTAATAGGCTATTTCTCAGGGTTGCTTTATTTTAAAAAATCATCTTCTGTAGATATGTTAACGTCTTGACTACAAAAAGTCATTGAACATGCCTACTGTTAGTATGTTGAAACAGGTTGAATTTTCCTCAAAAGTGGGGCATGTTGTAACACTTCATAGTGTATGTTGTTAGAATGGAACCTGCCATTAAACAGTCCATTATGAACTTTTGAACAAAATCTAACCAGGTAAAAATAATAAATTACAAAATATAAACATGGTAAACAATTACAAAACAAATACAATTCTTTAAACATAAAAATATCAAACTATTTTGTCCAACAAACGAGTAAATTGTATAAATTAATAATATTTAAAATACATGTGACAACTTGCCCCAATAAAAAAACTTGCTCTGACCTGACATTTATGAAGAAACAGCCTTGTATAACATGCCACAGCTCACTTAAGAGGCATATAGGCCAACTTTTGAGCATGAGAAAGACAAAAAGGTGATTTTGCCCTGTCCATCATCAGAAGTCCTGACCTTATCAGCTGTATTAAACAATTTTAAAACAATATTAAGTTTGACCAATATATTGTAGTAAAAGCTATTTTTGAATATTAATAAATTGTAATGGCCAAAAATGTAGGCTAATATTTCTCATTTTGTGTTTAAGCATTTTGCTGTCTTCTGTTTGCAAAAGAAAGTAAGATTCCTTTAAAATTGTGACTCCCAAGAAGAAACATAATGATGGGTAATAAATATAGGCTAAGTAAGTATATATTTTTTAGCAGTGTTGACTGCATGTCCTCAAACTATTTAATTGATGTTTATTGCTAGAAATGATTGGTTTAAACTGTATTTAAACACATCTCAAATGCTGGTTACAAACCTTAGGGCAAACCTCAAAAACAACAAGTAACAGAAAAACAATTTAGTTTGACCTATTGAGATTGACATTAAACATTTTCTAAAGGTAGCCTAGTCCCATCTCTTTTTACTGCCCCTTTTTTTTAGACAGGAAAAAGTAGACCTAGGCCTCCTTTATACTATATTTGTGGAAAGTGCAACATGCTTTTCAAGTGGGTGTGACAAAATTACATGTCTTTAAAAAGTATACAGTGATGTAATAAACTACAGACATTTGATGTTTTTAAAATGAGCCACTTTTCACGCTAGGTTAATTTTTGTTAGATAGTAGTTTATCAAGCATATTTGATAGATCTTGCAACAAAACAAGCATCTAATGCCCTTTTTTTTTTTTAAGTAATGGAACACCAACTGTACCTTTATTACTGCGCCGTTATGCGCATGCTGTAACTGCAGCATGTCAAAGCACAGGAAAGCCATAATTTCTAAACATGCAACATTTCTGAACAGCAAAAGGAACGCAACTTTCTTATATGGTGACAGAAGCACAGAGCCGAGAGGCATGTAATAGGTTTACAGCACGGTCAGGTAGACAGGAGGAATGTGCGCGCGTCTCTTCCACTTTAAGAAGGCGGATTCGCCTCTGCACACACTGTGTGTTTATTACGAGCTTTGAAGTGGCACATGGAAGCGATACAGTCAAATCCCTGTCTCTAAATATGGCGAAACCTACTGGCACTGACAGCACACGGAACAGTCGGGAAGTTTTTTTGAATTCTGCTTTTCATTACGATGAAGAGTAGATGAGTTGTCACATTTTCTGTTCGTATATCTGAGGTTGTATCAACTATATAGTTTCATCATACGGTTCTTCTGCTGCCACACACGCGCCTGTAAATGCGGCAGCGCTGGCGACTCCCGTCTGATCCGACACTCACAGCTGGATATTATCGGCTGTTTAGGAGGAACTCTGGAGAGCTGAAGACAGGTCAGGAGAGCAGAGACTGAGATGGAAGAGCTGTCAAGCCCTAACAGACGCCAGTAAGCGGGTAGATTCAGTAAATTAGACGCGATGGCAGCGTCCAGCAACTCCAGTCTGTCGGGTTCTTCCGTCTCTTCGGGTGAGTAGCCTGCTGATGAATCATAATCAAACAGGACTATTTTGTTTGGGAATCTGAATAAGCAAGCAATTGACGTGACGATAGCAGAATGGAGATGGTTGGCACTGGCACTTTAATTTCTGTGGTTTTGGATGTAATTAAAGCAGATTTTCATTCACCAGTTCAGGGTCACACAGACCATCTCCAATGGCCACTCCTTTGAAGTTGATCTTCACTTTGGCAGAGGGATTGTTCTTGTGGATGTAGTAGCCAATTGCTGGAACATACTTTCCTGCATATGACTATGAATTTTAAATGTTAAATATAGTTAACAGCACAGTATTTTGACTGTACAAGAGAGTAGGATTCTGATTGTATCAATCCAAAATGAGGTCCACTTCCTCACCTCGCCTGTAGCGTAGAACGGATTAGACTGGAACTCACTGAATATCTGGAAGAACTGAATCAGGGCACTGCGGAGGGGACAAAAAACCCCTAATATTTATCACATACATCTCTCGTTGTCTTAGATATACAGTAAACGTTTGCCACTGTACCTGTACAAGTCTCTGCCCACATCATCCTGGTTTTGGGCAAATCCTCGGTCATCCTCAGTGAAACTCCATCCTGTCCCAACCTTAAAAATAAACGACAAATATCCATCTAGTATGTATAATTAAATTAAAACCTGTCATAGAAACACCAGATTCACATACTGTATTAGCATATTTTCAGTAAGGCTGTCAAGTGATAAAATACATGTGACTTATTTAATTTACTCAGTTCCTTCTTAAAGAAAGAAATAATGTGTGTAATAATTGTATTCTTATATTCTGTGTGGATGACACACAAGACAGAAAATATCCATATAAAGACACTCAGATGTATGCAGCAAAGCTCTTTACCTCATTTTATCTAATTTCAGAAAATAAATAAATACATAAAATATTGTCAAATTGCATGAAAAGCAGGGAAAACAATATAACAAATTTTCCTAAATATGTTTTTAGGAATTAAGTGAAAATGACTTGAGCAAATTACTTTTATACAAATTATTTCCAGAAAATCACAGAATAAAAAAAAATATATATATCGTGCATGTTCATTATCATGATATATTGTATTACCCAATACCGGAACATGTCTACTCACCGGGTTGTCGATGTAAAGAACAGAGTATCGTGATGTCCAGGGGAAATCCCTATAGCCCACTGCAGAACGACATTAAAGGGTTAAATTCTAACGTTTTAATGTAATTTCATAAATTGATATCTGAAGTGTAGGGTTTCATTAAGCAAATAAAAATTCCTTTCTGGCCCAAAAAACATCTATAATACAATGTTTATAAGACACAAAAACAACATGCTAATCTTCATCAACATAGTGTAACTCAGCATACAAGCATTTGTACTCACACGTGAGGTTCTTATGTACAAAATATGGGCCGTGCTCCACAAACAAGCCAAACATGGAAGTGCCTCCAGGTCCTCCCTGCAGCCACAGCAGCACCGGAGCCGTCTCTGGTCTCTCCTAAACAAAGAAAAACATGCTACAATAAATAAGTGTGCAGTAATAACATCACTGAATCGAAATCTGTTGACTATATATAATTTGTTGTGAACGACTTCTGAAAACACTTGACTCAAGTATTGCCAACTGACGCAGAAGCTACAGTCAGCAGATCAGTCTTATCTTTGCTGTTCATGTACAGTGTTAAAAAAATAAAAGTGCATAACATATTACCTGGGCAGGGAAGAACCAGAAGAAAAGGTTACTGTTGTAAGTCTTGTTCACAGTGAGATATCCTGAGTAACTCTTGACATTGGCACCAGGAAGGGGTCCCACCAAACTCAGTTTTTTGGCTGCATACCCACAATACAAAAAAGAAAGTGTATTAGCATACAGGTGAGAAACATCAGTGAATTATGATAGCAGTTATAATTTGTGGACAACCAAAGTAAATTCCACTGATCTATCAGTCGCACAAACTTCTCCATAATAGGGAAAATACCTTATAGCCTATTTAGCGAATTAAAGTAAAAGAAGAACGAAAGAAGAGGAACTGAAATTATTCTATGCAAACAGCAAGCATACCTTCTTCTATCTTGCCTTCCTCCAGATAGGGGGTGAGCATCAGAGGTTTGCCCGGGTCAACTCCAAAACGTGACCCGCTCACACGGTGTGATTTCCGGCAGAAGAACGAGGAACAGCCCCGGGGACTGACAGACTCCAGAAGAGCCCCGAGGAACAGCAGCCTCAGCGTTTCCTTCAGCATTATAGAGTTTAACTGCAGACAGCAAAGAAATATAACACGGGGATCAATGATCCAGCTTGATATTAAAAGGCTCGCATTACCTGCTACCTGTTATTACAAGCCTAAACATATCAGATGAGAGAAAGACAACTCTTGTCAGTCTGTGAATTATCGAAAATAAGCAACATGCGTACATAATGCGCGGCACATTATGTTATGAATATGTAAACAGGAAAGATAATGTGCAGGAATGGCAGGTGTGATAATTATCAAATCAAATAATTGATCATTTATATACATCTTGTTTTCCTGATCAGTAATAATAATAGCGTTACCTTAAAGCCAGATGCCAATCAGAAATCCAGAAGCCGTTTGCATCGGCATATGAAACTACAAGTAAATGCAGATCAGCTTGTTGTCACGCTTTGAATGTGTTGCAGTCACATGACTATATGGCCTCGAAGTCATGTGATCGCAGTGAATCCAAGGAACTTCAGTTGAAAACACTGACCCCTACAGGCCCATTTGAGAGAAGCAGTGCTCAACCCACAAAGCAACTTTTCCAATATACAATATTATGCAATATGCATTTGCTATGTAATAGAGAAGGCTCAAGTTAATAGGCTATTTCTCAGGGTTGCTTTATTTTAAAAAATCATCTTCTGTAGATATGTTAACGTCTTGACTACAAAAAGTCATTGAACATGCCTACTGTTAGTATGTTGAAACAGGTTGAATTTTCCTCAAAAGTGGGGCATGTTGTAACACTTCATAGTGTATGTTGTTAGAATGGAACCTGCCATTAAACAGTCCATTATGAACTTTTGAACAAAATCTAACCAGGTAAAAATAATAAATTACAAAATATAAACATGGTAAACAATTACAAAACAAATACAATTCTTTAAACATAAAAATATCAAACTATTTTGTCCAACAAACGAGTAAATTGTATAAATTAATAATATTTAAAATACATGTGACAACTTGCCCCAATAAAAAAACTTGCTCTGACCTGACATTTATGAAGAAACAGCCTTGTATAACATGCCACAGCTCACTTAAGAGGCATATAGGCCAACTTTTGAGCATGAGAAAGACAAAAAGGTGATTTTGCCCTGTCCATCATCAGAAGTCCTGACCTTATCAGCTGTATTAAACAATTTTAAAACAATATTAAGTTTGACCAATATATTGTAGTAAAAGCTATTTTTGAATATTAATAAATTGTAATGGCCAAAAATGTAGGCTAATATTTCTCATTTTGTGTTTAAGCATTTTGCTGTCTTCTGTTTGCAAAAGAAAGTAAGATTCCTTTAAAATTGTGACTCCCAAGAAGAAACATAATGATGGGTAATAAATATAGGCTAAGTAAGTATATATTTTTTAGCAGTGTTGACTGCATGTCCTCAAACTATTTAATTGATGTTTATTGCTAGAAATGATTGGTTTAAACTGTATTTAAACACATCTCAAATGCTGGTTACAAACCTTAGGGCAAACCTCAAAAACAACAAGTAACAGAAAAACAATTTAGTTTGACCTATTGAGATTGACATTAAACATTTTCTAAAGGTAGCCTAGTCCCATCTCTTTTTACTGCCCCTTTTTTTTAGACAGGAAAAAGTAGACCTAGGCCTCCTTTATACTATATTTGTGGAAAGTGCAACATGCTTTTCAAGTGGGTGTGACAAAATTACATGTCTTTAAAAAGTATACAGTGATGTAATAAACTACAGACATTTGATGTTTTTAAAATGAGCCACTTTTCACGCTAGGTTAATTTTTGTTAGATAGTAGTTTATCAAGCATATTTGATAGATCTTGCAACAAAACAAGCATCTAATGCCCTTTTTTTTTTTTAAGTAATGGAACACCAACTGTACCTTTATTACTGCGCCGTTATGCGCATGCTGTAACTGCAGCATGTCAAAGCACAGGAAAGCCATAATTTCTAAACATGCAACATTTCTGAACAGCAAAAGGAACGCAACTTTCTTATATGGTGACAGAAGCACAGAGCCGAGAGGCATGTAATAGGTTTACAGCACGGTCAGGTAGACAGGAGGAATGTGCGCGCGTCTCTTCCACTTTAAGAAGGCGGATTCGCCTCTGCACACACTGTGTGTTTATTACGAGCTTTGAAGTGGCACATGGAAGCGATACAGTCAAATCCCTGTCTCTAAATATGGCGAAACCTACTGGCACTGACAGCACACGGAACAGTCGGGAAGTTTTTTTGAATTCTGCTTTTCATTACGATGAAGAGTAGATGAGTTGTCACATTTTCTGTTCGTATATCTGAGGTTGTATCAACTATATAGTTTCATCATACGGTTCTTCTGCTGCCACACACGCGCCTGTAAATGCGGCAGCGCTGGCGACTCCCGTCTGATCCGACACTCACAGCTGGATATTATCGGCTGTTTAGGAGGAACTCTGGAGAGCTGAAGACAGGTCAGGAGAGCAGAGACTGAGATGGAAGAGCTGTCAAGCCCTAACAGACGCCAGTAAGCGGGTAGATTCAGTAAATTAGACGCGATGGCAGCGTCCAGCAACTCCAGTCTGTCGGGTTCTTCCGTCTCTTCGGGTGAGTAGCCTGCTGATGAATCATAATCAAACAGGACTATTTTGTTTGGGAATCTGAATAAGCAAGCAATTGACGTGACGATAGCAGAATGGAGATGGTTGGCACTGGCACTTTAATTTCTGTGGTTTTGGATGTAATTAAAGCAGACGGGATAGAACACGGTGAAGAGGTGTGTCGTACCTTTTCTTCATCCAGGGTGAACTAGACCCACCTTTGACTTCTTCACCAATGCAAAAGCATGCAGTCGTTGCTATCACCAATGCACGCTAGCAGAAGATTGTGTAATGTCACACTCACTGTGCACGAGTTTTAAAGGCCACTTCTATCTGATCAGACTTCTTTGGTGGGAACTACAAATCAAAAATGTGCACCATGCTGAATTGTAATGCCAAATAACATATTTCTCAGTGAGATATCATTGGTTACTGCATGCATTTTATGTGGAACTATAAGCATTTCGTTTTCCCCCCTCTCGACATAGGCTGTATTTATCTATATATATTTTTTTTTTATTATTAAAGTCATGTGTCAGCCCTTTAACATAAAGTCCATAAATAATAATATAACTGTTATCTTATATTTTGTGCGATTTATTAAAAAACCTTACATAATCAGTCCCGTTACCATGATTTTGTACAGTAAACAACAGATTATCGAAAACTATTTGAGAAAATATCTGCATGTAGTGTCATGACCTTGAGTACAAGGCTGTTAGCTAATTGTTAAATGAACCGTGCATTTATAGCATATATGGTAACACATTTTTATTTGGAAATTTAGCTTGAAATGACATAATGCAATTGATTAACATTGTGTTTATTGAAGTCGGCATGAAATGAATCCACTCAGATGTACATCATAATATGGAAGAAAAGATTTGTCGTTTCTTCTAATTCACCACAACTTTAGAAGTCAGTTTATTAATATTGGATTTATTTATTTAATTTATTTATTTAGAAAACAGTCTATTAACAATTAAGACTTTTCTGTCGGGATGTTTACAGTATGTCAGCAGAAATGTCACCTTTTTAAAACGGAAAAGACTCATTTCGTGGAATGACCCAAGTGTAATTTGGGCATAACAGCAATAGTATAATGTCAGCATTGTTTATACATTTGTCATCAGTGTCAACTGTTGATATCCCAAGTAAATCACTGCCAGTAATGCCAACAACATGTTTTTTTTTTTGTGTCCATTTAAACATGTTGTAACTTGTAACATGGGAACAAAAAACTGGTTTGGACACATCCAGTACAAATGCACTTCCCACCCATTGTCTCAAGGGATCTAGGTTAGGCTAGGCCAGGCATATATATCCTAAATCCCAACATTTCAGATTTTTTTGCATCTAAAATGACTCATCAAACGTTTTCATAGGCGTGTGATGAAAACTAATTAACCTAAAAGCTGTTCCTCTCTCTGTTTTATTCACTCGAAAGATTTTCTATTATCCTGATATTATTATCCCCGAGAAATTATTGATGTTGAAAATGAGCTTTTAAAATCACCTGTCATCTTCCTAGCTGGGTGTCATGTGGCGTTTAAGCTGCATTATCACATGTAAGGAAGTTTGACTGTCGATATACTAACCTTCACATACAATTACTTACTTTTCAAAACCTATGACATATTTTCACACAGGTTCCAAACTGACCTACTACACATTTAAATCTTCACCATATTCTCTACTGTCCAAAAGTTTAGGGTTGGTAGGTTTTTCTCTGCCATTTATTTAATCAAAAATACAATAAAAACATGAATATTGTGAAATGTCATTATACAATAACTGTTTTCTATTTTAATGCATTTTAAAATGTAGATTGGCAAAGCTGAATTTTCTGTAGCCATTACACCAGTCTTCAGTGTCACATGATCCTTTGGAAATTAGTCTAATATGCTGATTTGCAGCTCAGAAAATATTTCTTATCGCAAATGTTGAAAACAGTTATGCTGCTTACCGTGAAACATTTTTCATGATTCTTTTTAGTTCAAAAGAATAGCATTTTTTTTTTAAATATGTCTTTTGTAACATTATAAATGTATTTGCTGTCACTTTTGATCTTTTTGCTGAATAAAAATATTAATTTCTTTCACAAAAACTGAAAAAAAAAAAAAAATCACACTGACCCCAAACTTTTGAAGGGCAGTGTATATATATGACTTTTTTACATTTTGTGAACTTAGATAAGAAACAAACATTGGGTGGAAGGGAAACCACCGTCCCCAAATGCACCGTAAGACACAAAACAGAGCAAAAAGCATCAGGTTGGCTGGAGGTGTGAGAAGCACAAAAGAGTGTGCAGGTGTTTAAATACACTGATCACAAATGTGAGGAGAGATAAGGTTGGAAACGCGCTCAGAATCACTCCCACACAGAAAAGCATGTTAACACCCTGTTCCCATGCTGTGCCGCTCGGCATTGCGTTTGTAAGAACAGAAGGAGGGATGTGTGATCTGAGGGACAGTACACGTCTCAAGGGAGTACAAGTTCAAATAACAAGCTTTGTTGAATGGGCGTGTAAAGAAGAACCGTTTTCGTGTAGGCACTCATTCCATTAAAGCTCAATAGTGACCTTGGGAGAGAAAAAGAGAGGGTTTGTCTAATTCACTTCATGCTTGCTGTAACTCTTCATGCAGATGCACAGAACCACGACTCCTCCTCCACGCAAAGCCACGGGCTCTTGAGATCCAGTAAAGGGATCAAGCCAAGCCATGACTCTCCGTGGTTGCCATCCATTCCCAAATAGATTAGCTCACATGCATGTTGCTGAAAAAGCAGAAGTGCACTGCAGCCACGAGGCCTGCAGCAGGCGGGGAGTCTTTTCTGCCTGCGGTACGGAGAGCTGTCATTAGCTCCGTGCCCCCGGTGTAATCATCGTATGCCATATACTGCGCCTCTACCAGCCTCGCCGGCTTTTTTGCCAGAAGCCTTGTTTCATCTAGTTTGGGTGCATGTAACACGCACATTCTGCTTTATATTAGCCAAGAACAGGGCTGTAAACAAATGCAGGGCAGACTGGCGAGATGTATGCCGCTCGGCTCAGCTCTTCTGACTTCAAAGGCCAATTCGAGCTTTGATGTTTCCCTAAAGGAAAACTGGGGCTGCAGCTCAGAGCTGCAAGCTTGTGAGTGTTTCAGAAATGATGAAGTTGAAATTATGAGTGATTTCATGGGTTTGTGCTGATTTGATTTCCTTTAATCTGAAGGGGTGGTGTTGGCTTAAGCTTGGGGCGCTTGACCAGAAGGTCGCTGTTTTAATCCCAGTAAGGAGGAAATCACTTCTTCATTGTACCCTTGGGCAAGACATTTAACCCCAGATTGCTCCAGACAGATTGTCCCGGCCGTAAGTGCACTTTAGTAAGTCGCTTCAGATAAGACTTCAGATAAAAGCATCTGCTAAAAGACTACTTACGCACAGTATGAATCTGCAAGGGGTTCATTCTTTTAAACTCAAAGTGGAACGGCAATTACAATTGTACTAATGTAATCTGACTTTTATGTGGTTTAATCATCAAGTAATAACTAAGAACATATTTTCGTTACATCTTGAACATGCCATTACTTAAAGGAATAGTTCACCCAAAAATGAAAATTCTGTCATTAATTACTCACCCTCACGTCGTTCCAAACCTGTAAGACTTTCGTTCATCTTCGGAACACAAATTAAGATATTTTTGATGCATTCTGAGATCTCTCTGACCCTCCCATAGTGTCAGGGATATGGACCTGTCTGTGTGTTTTTCTCCCCATGTGCTCCATGACCTAGTTTCTCCCTTGTCTGATTGTCATATTTGATTCACCTGTGTCTTGTTAATTACCCCGTTTAAAGGGTCATGAATCCCCAGACTACTTCTTCTGAGATTTTAGCAGAGGTGTTTGTGTTGCACATCATAGAAGACAATGTTAGCATCCGATAATTTTAACTGTTGGAGAAAACTGGTACATTTTAAGCATTTTTGCACTATTTTCATCTTCCGGATTTAAAATCTACATTGTGTTGACGTCACAATATGTGACGTGGCAATGGACATCGATGACGCATCGGTGTCTATTAAATTATTAATGAGACTGCGTGTTCTTATCCTATGAGAAGACGCTTCGCTTAATTATTCACATAAGCATGTGTTGATGTGCTATGACAAATCTCATCTCACCAGCTACCTAGACAAACGCGCTCTACACATTCTACGACGCCTGCCTGAACCCCGCGTGCAGAGCGCTGTCGTCTGAAGATGGCCCTCGAATGGATTTTTCCACCTTTGTGGAGTGGATACTGGCGAGAAACAGATCCCCGTTCACCGTCTGTTCCAAGGAGGATCTCGCCAGTTCCACTCTGGACCCAGAGCCCAGCCCACCATCACCTCGCTGTGTGGAGCTCAAGCCTGAGCCCACCGTTGATGAAGAGCCCGAAACCGCCGCGACCGACGAGCCATCGCCGCATGGAGCGACAGAGCTGAGGATCGCCGTGGAGCCGGAGCTGTTCATGACGTCAGTCCAGGTGCGAGAGCCGGCAACACAGCTCGCCATGAGGGAAAAAGCTATGGACTGTGAGATCGCGGAGAGGAGCTCCGCCCCCTGCACCATGGCTGAGGGTGAGCTGAATGTGGATCTGGGACTGCTGGACTTCAAGGGAGAGGTCATGGATGTATATGCTGATCTGCCCCCTCTCCTCCCTCCTTTGTCGGAGCCCTCTGTCAGTCCTGCTCCTACGCTCAGCCCAGAACTGGCTCTTGTCCCCCCGTCCAGCCCAGAGAGGGCTCCTGTTTCCACGCCCTGCTCAGAGAGAGACTATGTTCCCAAGTGCAGCCCTGTTGTTCCCCTGTCAGTCGTGCTCCCCGTGCTGGGAGTCGCTATTTGGTGTGTGTGGGCAGTGCACATCAGCCCTGAAAGCCTGGAGGCTCAAAAATGCACACCCACCCGCCCGCTCCTGCCTCCTCCACCACTGTCGTCTGGCAGCCCCTCTGCTCTCCCTCAGCCCACCATCAGCACGGTGCGAGCC